CTTGGCTCTTCCCATTCTTCATGGCTCCCAGATGGCCACCAGCTGCTTGGGGGCTACTTCTTGTATTCTAATCCTTTCTCCATCTAGTTGGTTGTCTTCCTGATCTCCTGTGCCTGTGTCCTCCTCCTTCTGGTAATAACACCCACTGTTCTTTACCCCTCATTGGATGTGCCTATTTTCTAAGAAAATCTTGAGGATTTTTTTGAGGTATTACCTTTTTTTCTTTAAACTTTGGGATTGTAAGGAAAGCCAGCAGCAGAGCTGTGTGGAGGCTCGACTCTTCTGTCAGCAGGGGGATCGCTGTCTCTGAGGGGAGGACCAGAACCCCTGCCCTACAGATGTCTGAAAAGTCTGTTTGGCAACGTGTAGATCTGACATTCTCCAGAACCACACCTCGGCCTTCGTGCTGTGCTCTTTCTTCAAAATCATGGCAGGGAGGTGTCTAGCTAGAGTGACGGAAGAATGCGTCATTTGATTTCATTTGAGGGCTTCTTTGTTTCATTTTCCCATGAGTAGAGTATTGTACCATGATGCAAGCTGTTTTGCAATAAATGGCTTTTATTGATTTTCTAGATTATAGCTGGAAGATCGCCTGAAATGACAAATGGTAAGAGGGAGCAGGATGTCTGCGCATCTGCATCTTCATCCAAGTTTGCCAGGACTGTGAGTCTGCCTGTGTTTGTGAGTCAGGGGAGTGCTCTGTGAGCTCTCCGTGGGGACCTCTGTATGGAGAGGGTTTCTGCAGAAGAGTATGTCTGCAGGGATGGCGGAAGGAGACTTCAGGGTAGTGGGTGGGAGCTACTTGTATGTTAGAGTGTGTTTGTGCTTATGTGTACACAGGGGGTCTGTGGGATAACTCTGTGTGTGGATGTGCACAAAGGATCTGGTTGGGTGACTGTACATGTATACATGGGGGGATCTGTGTGTCCACAGGGGATCTAAGTGTGCATATGGGGGTGTATGTGTACATGCACAGACCTGGGTGTGTGACTGTATGTGTGTATGTGAGGAGCACGTTACAGGGATCTTAGTGGAGTGACAGTGTGTGTATCTGTTGTGTGTATGTGAGGATGTATACAGGGGCTTTAATGCAGAGACTGCATGCATGTTCAGGGGTGTGTATGTGTGTGTGTGTGTACATGCATAGAAGATCTGGGTAGGTGTGTGAGTATGTGCATATACAAAATCTTAATGCAGTGACCATGCATGTGTGTGTGCACAAGAGGTGTGTGTGCACACGCAGATCTGGGTGGGTGACTGTGCGTGCAGTTACATGTCGGTGTGTCCTGTACTGCGAAGGAGATCTGGTGTGTGATTGTGGTTATGCCTGTTTGAGTGTCACAGGTTATCCTGGGGTGTGTTTGGGCATCTGTTCTGTGGCAAGCATTTGTGAGATGAAACTAGAGCTGTTTTTGGGTGAGGAACATGGGAGAGAGCTTGTGTTGGAGGTGTACGCCAGGGGGATGGGGTGTGTTCTCAGATGTTTGAGGGTTATCAGCAAACGTTTCTGTATGTGTCAGTGGGGTATCTTCTGGGTTTCTGTGTGGTGTGATTGTAGGGCACTTGTCGAGTGTCTACGGGGTAAATGTGAGGGTCTCCGTGGAGCAGGTGGCAGATACTCATTCCTGGAAGTACCCATGGGCATTTGTAGGGAGACTGGCTTTGGGAACTTTTGTGGGACTGCCTGTGGACAAGTGTCTGACGAGACAGTGCTGGTTCCTGTGTGACTCCATCCATGGGGATCTGTCTGTGAACTCACAGTCCGTGAAGGGGAGAAGACCTCTGAAGACCAGGAGCAAACCTCTCCTCAGCACCTCACTGGCCCCAGCATGTGACTGTGACTGCCTGGCCATGGCAGCTCAGTCCTTGGAGCCCCTCATCCCAACAATGATTTACTGAAGTCCCTACTAGAATGAACGGTCCTGGGCCAGCAGCTTGACATGAGTGTTAGGGAGACAGAGGTGAGTCGCTGCAGACACCCATGTGTGCACACACGCTGTGCGACTCTCACACCACGCCAGGGACACCGACCAACAGCCCATAAACCCACAGACTTGTCATCTCCAGAACAAATGAGAGGCAGGCTGACAAGGGAGCACATCTGCTGAGTGCCCTCCTTTCTGCCATCATCCAGAAATGATGGGAAAGAGCAAGAGGCACTTGGATTTCAATCCTCTGAGCTCTTAAGGGAATCATTCCTTCCTTTAAATGGAAATGACAGTCCACTGAGATAGCGCTTTTAACTTTATCCAGCAGCTTAAATCAAACAATGACACCCCCACTCAGAAGAATCAAGTCCCCTCATGGAGAGGCCATTGCAGGCGTTCTGTATTTGCATCTCATGTGTTGCGGGGGGCGGGGTGTGGGGGGCTCTTATTAACAGCTCCCTTGGCCCCTCCAGGATGCAGCTTGTATGTGCTGCCAAGTTTACAATTGGGGACGCTGATGCTGAAGGAGGTCATGCCCCTACCCAGGCCTCCGTGTGGGATGGAGATGCAGAGTTGCTACACGGCAAGGAGCACCCCTTCTGTGCTCATCCTCAGATAGCTCAACAGCAGTCCAGGAGGGAACTCCGAGTCCTAGGCAAAAGCAATCCTTGCGGGGAGGCAGGGAATGGGTTTATTAAAATCCTGAGCACTGCAACTGTACTTTTCACTAGGGCAGCTAAATACTGTTTTAAGTAACGCTTGAATTGCTGCCACAAAGTGCTGTAAGCCAGTTTTTCCTCTGATTGAAGAGGTATCCATTAGCTAACTTCAAAAATTCGAGATGTTTATTCTTGAGTTACCTTTCCTATTTATTTCAGGAAAACTCTTCCAGTTTCTAAGAAGCTCCACAGGGAGCCACACCTTCACCTGCCAACATAATAGTAGGGTTTTGTCTGCCTCCTGGGCAGGTCCCCATTTGCAACCTGAGCTCATCCCCAGGACGCCCTGGTGCGTCACCTCTTGGTAAGGGACCTGAGTGACTAACTCTCCTTGTCTCCCTTCTAGATACACCTCTGGCTGGAGAGATGGTGCAGGTAGCATTGTCTCCAGGCTATGAATAAGGAAGCTGAAGCAGAGGTAAGTGCCTGGCTTAAGCCAAGCTGCCGGGCACACTCGGACAGGCGCTGGTGCCTCTGCTCTCCACTGAGTTCCCTCACACTCCTCGGTCTCCCAGCAGTCCTGTGTGGAGTGCCCACTAGATGATGAGTGCTCCCCTCTCTCACAATAGAAATCCCTGTTGGAAAGGTGAGGCACATCTACAAACCCAGCCAAAGAGGTGGTGAATGAGAAAGGCCCTCATGGTGGTGCAGACAATGGACATTACAGAGGGAGGGCTAGGTATGCTTATCGGGGAGACTTTCTGGAAGAGATGGATTGGATCTGAGCACTGAAGGGGGAGAGTAATTTGAAAAGCTGCAGAGGAGGGAAGAACACATTCCTGATGTGAAGTGTGTAAGCCAAGACAGGCTCTGAGATGGCCCATTCTAGAAGGCAAGGAGGCAGATGTGGCAGGCTGAGCTGAGTCAGAGAGGTGTGGAAAGAAGGCACCAAGAGGGGAGGGGACAGGAAGAGAGAATTTCCTGATGACAAGAGTTTCACAGCAGCAGCCAAAATATTCTAGGGGGCATATAATGTGCCATTTCCTTTATACCTTATGTTTTAGGCTACTCCTGTGCTTCTTCAACTTCACTACCTTCTATTGCAGTTAGGGCAACCCTGTGGCTGACTTCTGGAATATGGGAGTGACATGTGGCACTTCCAGGCATAGCCTATGAAGTCCTCCTGCATGACCTGCACTCAATCTCTTCCCTGTTCTGTTGCCTAGATGCAGAGGATCTAAAGCCTTGGGGGGTGCCTGGGATCCTGAATCACCACATGGAGGCCACCGACTGGGTGTATGCCCGGAACTACTAGCTTGAGCAGAAAGTACATTTCTATTGTGAAAAGCCACTGAACTTGAAGGGTTATTTGCTATAGTAGCTTGCCTGCCCTGACTAATTCAGACTGACTATTGTATCTGATCCTCTAACATTTTATGTTTAGTTGGAATGTTCGTTCTGACTTATTTCTGACTAGTTTTGCTTTCATTATTTTATTTCCTGAACCACGTAGAATGCTGTTATATCATCGGAAATGTTTCTTGAACGAATGAATAAATATACCCTCTTTGGAGATTCATAATAGAACTGTAGCCATGATAGGGGAGTATCAGAGCAAAACAGAGAAATGAATACATCAGAGGGTAGGAATGAAAGTCACAACCGGAGCAATTTAGAAAAGAGAAAAAAGACAAATTAAAATCCTAAACTATCTTTTTTGTTTGTTCCCTTTCTTCCTTTCTCTAAGAGAAACAGATTGAGAAATAGGCACACTGAAGAAATAGGTCTTAACACTGAGACTCACCCCTACTCTCAGCTAACCGCAGATCAGGGGCACATCTATGTCTAGTATACTCAAAGAGGTCTCTGGATGTGAACCTGGAACCTTCCCGTATAGGTCAGCTTCACAGAGCATTGCATTATCACTGCACTACCATCCAGCCTCTCTAAAAATCCTTTTTATCATGCATTTTGGGGCATGTATTCTTTTTCTTAGAGATATTTTTGCTATAGGACGTGTGTGCTTGCCAGACAGAGAGAGACAGAAAGCGAGAAATCACCCCCCAGGGGGAATGGCCACGCCACAATCCCTTCTCCTCCATTCTCCTCCTGGGATATTTGGGCATGCACACACATGTGCCTGGTGTGAATTTCAAGTAGCCAAGACCAGGACTTGAATCTCAATCAGCCACATGGGAGTCCAGCACCTTAATCACGGCATCACCTGCTGGTCCCAACGGCATACAGTCTCTGATGGCCACCATCCAGCCCCCACAAATCCTACACTATCTTGAGAACATTTTAAAAGCATATTCTTTTACCCAGCACAATAACTACATAAAAAGATTACGTCCTTGTTTTTGAAAAATGCTTCCCCCCCCTTTTGAAATTACATTGAAACTTCAATATTTACCTTAATAGTTCACCTACAGATGCCAGAAACAGAATGTTCACACATCCCTGCAATATAGTTTAAAAAAAGAAAAGAAAAATAAATTTCCTTCAGAAGTAAAAAGAAAACATACTCCATTTATTTCCCACACATTGAAAGCTTGTATTCTCCCAGTAGAAATAACAAGCGATACTTTTTCATTTAACAGGGAGTGGATAGTTTTTCAGGCTTCTCCGTTTCTCCCCAAACAGATGGGCTTTCACATTCAAGAAAAACTGGAGTTGCCATAACCTTGAGTAGACAAGAGCTTGGCTAGACCACACAGTCCAAATGCCAGGACCCAGGGTGACGAGGGAGCTCCCATTGCACACAGTCATGCCCTTGGAAGACTTGACCACTCAAGCACTTTTCTCACAGTGATCCCCACGTGGAACAGTGTTTGCTATGGAGGATGACATTGGCAAAACAGTAGAGAGTATATAATTGCAAAACTTACTATCTCTCTTATAGAATCAATTTGCTAATTTGTAGGTGGGAGCTACCATAACATTTATTTATTTATTTATGTCACAGATAGATTTTTTTCTATAGGGCACTTGCACTCGCTAGAGACACAAAAAGAGACGGAGAGATAGAAAGCTAGAAATCACCTCCTCAGTGGGAAGGCCACAGCACAATTTCTTTTCCTCCATTCTCCACTCAGGATTTTGGACATGCATGCACATGCACATGCACCCAGCATGTGGGAGTCCGGCACCTTAACTACTACGCCATATGCTGGTCTCAGTATTTATTATTATTATTATTATCATTGTAACTGGAGAATGGACCCCTGAATAAGTGCCAGGCATTGGTACTGTACTAGCTAACCTCTTTGCATACCTTATTTCATTAAATCCTCATAATAATTATATGGAGTCAGTAGTTTTATTGTTTTCACTTTACACATAAGAAGACTGATTCTGGAACCAGCAGTTAGCGTAATGGCTATGAAACAGAGCAAGAACCCCCTAATGTATTTTCTAGGGTTCCTGAAATACAAAGTCTATTTGCATTGTAATGGCCCAGAGTAAGGAGTAAGTCTTCAGACTTTGGTTATGATAATGACCAACATGGACCATGGGTGAGGGCCATGTTGGCTCTAAAACTCTCACTTAAAGGAAAAGGTTTTCATTTCAATATGTAAGATGTTTTGTAGACTGGAAACTGCTGGTGAGCTCAGACTCCAGGCTGAATGGTTCCAGACGCCTGAAGAGGAATTTGATTATCTAAGGCCTCACCAATCAAGAATGCCCACGAGCTGATCACGCCCTCTTAAACCAATCACTGAACTGATCATGCGCCTGGGACCTCTGCCCCTAATTTTGCCCTTAAAAACGCATGTGGGGAACATCTCGGGGAGACCGGGTCTTTTCAGCATGAGCTGCCCGCTCTCCTTGCTTTGCGCTTTGCAATAAAGCTGTACTTTCCTTCATCACACCATGTGCCTATGGCTTGGTTTTATAGC